TATATATATAATTGATGAGTAGTATTTCGAGCCAAAACGAGCCAAACACGAACTAACAAATCTTTCTTCGTGTTCGGCTCGTTTATATATTGAGCATAAAAAGTTGTTTGTTTTCAGCTCGTTAACTAAACAAACGAATCGAACAAGAGCTTCTTAACAAGCCAAACACGAGTTGTTTGCGAACAACGAACTGTTTTCACCTAGATGTAATCTCAGTCATTTGATTATTTAGAATTATATCTACTTTAAAGGCAATCTTTAAAAGTTTAAGATTATTAATAATCGAATATTTGTCAGAATGTGCAAATTAAAATGTCTCTTTATCTAATTAATTAAATGCTGATTTTCAGCCTGAAATTAATGATTTCAGATGAGACAAAATGCTAGAAATGAACCATAATTCTTTTATTAGACTCAACATTAGTAAAATATATATATGGTAGATTTACATGCATACCAATCAATTCATATCTATTTACATATGTAACACCCAAACTTTCAATATTTTCATTTGTGCCACCTTATCTATGCATAACTGAACCTAAATACTTACAAAGGCTAATTTTAAACATTTATTAACTCTATTACAAATCAATATAAGTATTTATGATTTGATTTAGGCCCCGTTGGGGCAGCTTATTTTACTGCGGCGGCGTTTTGCATTTGTTTCGGCGTTTAATCCTGCGTTTTTAAATCACCGTTAATCGCGTACCGAATTTACTTCTATCCATCGAATGCGGGGGAGGGGTTCCGTTCGGCGTTGGCTAGGGCTTATTTTCCTCCCGTGCCCCTGTGGATTCTCTCTCGCGCTCTTCCCCACGATCTCCTTTACCGATCTTCTCGTGCGTAAACTTGTTGTGAGATCTTGCGTAAACTATAGAAATGACACTCCTTTGATCTTCTCTTGTTGCTGCACTTGTATTTGTACTTTTTTTAGTTCTCCTGGTACTCGTTAGGGTGTGAGAACTGTATGGTATCTTTTAGAACTGATCTGTCATTTTCGTATGTTTCTGCACTATATGTTTCTTTTCTACCAATAAACTATTTTGAATAAGCTGCCCCAAACAGTTTTATCAGACAGGGGCAGAAATGTCGTTTAACCACCAATAAATTAGTCTGAATAAGCTGCCCCAAACAGAAAGTCAGATTATTCTGCAGATTATCAGATTATCAGAATAATCTGCTTATCAGCAGATTATAAATAATCCACAGCTGCGCCAAACAGAGCCTTAAACTATTGCACTGAACAAAATTAAATTAAATGAAGTTTATAGCCTTTTAATTTTGGGTATTTAACTACATACCACACAATTTTCAAGTATTTACATATCTAGCACCAAAACATGCATAACACTCGAATCTTTAACATTACAATAAAAATCATGGCTATTATCTCCTTTTTAAAAGCAAAATACACCTTTTCATGCATTGATTCATCACACCAAAGTGTCATGCATGTAAATATGAAATTTTTGGTGTTTGATATGTAAATATATAACAATTGCGTGGTATGTATGTAAAATTTCCTTTTTGTATTTTTGGCATTAATGATAAATAATATATCTTTTTATGAAACTTCATTAGTGTTCTTATTATTTTAAGTACTAATTTGAACAAAAATTTATGACTTGTTTTTTATTTATCTAGATTAAATAATAATTAATTTTTTCAGCTAAATCTAATTTGAAACTAAGATATATTTATATCATATAAAAATAGTATGCACTAATTTCTTATTAGGATTATTCTAATGATAATATAATTCAATGCTTAACATTTATATCAACATTAATAAGCTATTATAAGACCATAATCAGGGCCATTTACATACATACCACCCATTTTCCATGTTATTACATATTTAACACCAAAATTCACTTTTACATTTATACCACCCAAATCTTTCATATTACATTTAATGCATATATAAGTATTAGGATATGAAAATACATAAGAATTAAGTGGTATATATTTATGGAAATATACCTAATAATTATGTGATGCCTTTTTTAAATCATAAAACTATTAAGTTCCATTA